CTTCTTGTTTTACCTTCATAAGTTGAGCGCCTGAAGCAGAGATTCCTGTCTCTCCGGAACCTTCCTTCGGTCGGGTCATAGCGAAAACGATGAAGGAAATTGAAAAGAGATAAAAAGGGAAAAAGAAAGATCGAGCTAAATAGATCGAAACCTCTGGAGATAACAGTTTCGAGAGAAATAACTCGAAAGCTTAACAAAATAGAAATAAAAAAAAACTGCAAAGAAGAAGTAAAATAAAAAGAAAGAACCAGAAGAAGTTACCTGGGGAAACTGAATCGAGACGTGGAGAGAGTGGGGAAGTTGGAATTAATGTGAACAGCTTTATATCTCGTCGAAGCCTCGAGAATCGGAGAATAATCATTTCAAAATTCTTTTAATCTAAGCCGTTGATTTCATTAGATATAATTATATCCGTCAGATCAAATAAAAGATATCCTCGAGAGAAGATCGCGAGTAATCATTATCTTAACGAAAATTAAAGATTCGGCGGCTAGGTTTAGCTCCCGAGAAAAGTATCTTATCTCGAGAGCTGGGGGCAACTGTTGGGCCCAAATGTGGCCCTTCGGCTGAAGTTAGCAAACCAGTTAAACCAAGTCTAATAATGGGCCGTACATGGATTATCATCTCGAAGAAGAGTACAGCTCACCTAAGGACGTAAGCTGTTCCTAAAGAGGTCACAAGAAAGAGGTCACGAGAAAGAGGTCACGGAGAAGAGGTCCGGCTTCTTTCGCAGGAACCTAATGAAACATCCTAGGATACAAAGATAGAAGCATGCGATTCAGTCAAAAGGAAGCTGTTACAAATCCCCCAGTTTGCGGAGAGAATCTCGGAGACTAATCAGGAGAAGTTACACGTGACCTGAGGCTATTTAAAGGAGGAAGAAACGAAGAGAAAGGGAGGTCTTTTTCACACATTTTTCACATACATTGTCATTCATAGATCATTCAAGTGATTTCTTTGTATCATTCTCAACTATCTTTGTATTCATTTTCTTTACTAAAACATCAGTATAACAACAATTCATTCTCTAAGTTCTTAAGGGATTCAGCCCACGATTGTCTTCCCCCCAACCTTAACCTAACCTAAATTAAGAAGTGAATTTTATCCCTCACAGCGGCCCGCGATTGGTTGCTTTTTAGTTTTTTTTTTTTTTTTAGTCCGAAAAAAAAACAAAACAAAAAAAAAATTTAAGCACCCCATTTTTAATTAAGTGGGATAAACATGCTCTAACCCTTTTAAAATATACAAATCAAGTGTTTCTTTAATTTGTTAATCTCCATATTACCTTTCTTTTGTCTTCCAACCTGTCTATTAAATGCATTTACATGCTCTATTTACTTGGAGCTTTGGATGCAGCCACATGCTCTGCATGCTCCCATTTATTGCACTTCTATTGTACTATATAATAGTAGTATTATGTAAAATATTTTTATATTACATTTTCGTTTTTATATCTGTATATTTTGTATGAATATCAATTCCATAGATATATAATATTATGTATCTACATTTGAACCAAAGTGCAGGGTTTTGGATACACATATCGTTCCTTAATTATATGAGACTCATGATTATATAACTTTTATGCCAAATCTAATCTGCGTACGAGTAACGACGCAAAAAATACGTTCGTATCTCTAATATTTACAGAAACATATACGAGTGATAAAAAACTCTGGTGGTAAAATCCTAGAAGCGCAAAGAAAGAATATTAAAACGCGATTTTGACACTAAGAAAATCAATGCGAAATTTTATAACTTATCTGCTCAATTTGTCACTTTATAATTGATAACCCTAACTACCTGCATACAATAGAGCAGTAAAAGTAACTGTTTACATGGATGGATTTGCATCGAACAAATAAGAAATGAGATAGTCCAACATTCATTTATCACAAATTACAACTTATCTCCACCTGTCTTAAAACCCTAATTTTAACCATTCATTTTCCTATATAAACCTCCCAATGTGTTATGCACTCTACACTACTTTTTCTACTTAACAAAAACTCACAGCAAAGTTACTTTACAAAAAGAGTAACAAGAGATGGCAATTAGGTGTTTAGCCGTGTTCCTCGTTGCTCTCACGGTGGCTCAGTCCGTCACCGCCACAAGACCGGCACCGTCCAAGAATGTCGGAGCTGGTCTTGACGACCAAAAGAACTTTGTTGCGTTTGCTGGCGTCGGTGGAGCTGCTGGAGTTGGTGGTGTGGGAACAGGTCTTGGTGGTGTAGCCGGTGGAGTTGGTGGTGTAGCCGGAGTTCTGCCTGTAGGTGGAGTAGGCGGGGGAATTGGTGGTCTAGGAGGTGTAGGTGGTCTCGGTGGTGTAGGTGGTCTAGGCGGTGGTTCAGGTCTCGGTGGTGGAATAGGCGGTGGTTCAGGTCTTGGTGGTGTAGGTGGACTCGGCGGTGTAGGCGGAGTTGGTGGTTTGGGAGGAATTGGCGGTGGAAGCGATTGCGGTGGCGTTCTTCCTCACCCTTGATGATAAAACGTTTTTTCTTCTCTCTATATATAAAAAGATCGATCGAAGAGTTAATAAATGTTTGTATAAGTTTTCTAATGTTTTCAGTTTTTTTTCTTCCTGATGTTATGTTTAAGTCTTTGTTTGTTTTATGTTTTTCATGCTGTTTATTATTAGTTGCTTGAGATAATACTTGTGCTATCAATAAATAGAGTATTTATTCCGTTTGCGTGAGGCAAAACAGTGTTACTTGCTTGTGCTCCAAGATATTCATGTAATTGCAATTTGCATGCAGGACAGCAAGAAAAAGGCTCTTCTCTTTTGTAAAAGTACGAAAAAAAAAAATCCATTGTAAGGAAAAAAATATTAGTTCTGTAACTAACCAAAGATCATTTATATGAACGATATATTATCAACCATTATGAACTAGAGGAGTTAACTTAGTTATTTACTTCTTGCCAACATGCAGTTTACAGCTTCTTGCCGACAGAAAATATAGTTAATTTTTTTTTATATATTTTTAAAATATTTAAATTTTTGTTAATTTTCTTGTACTGGATTCAAATAGTTTAACAGATAAAAGAAGAAGTTTGTAACAAATTACAGTTTAAAAAATGTTTGTAATAAATTTGAAACAATACTGTTTAACATCAACGGATTACTAGAAGCTTGACGCTCGAATATCGTCGGTGGGGTATCTTATTATATGGTAAGGGCAAGTACTCCAACTATAACACCAAATTTATTTTTGAAATCATATCAAATTTGTTGTCATTTCCAACCATGACATTAAATATTACACCAAATATAATATTATATATTATTTATGTTTTAAGTTTTGAATATTTTTTAATTTTTATTAATTATAATTGATAAATAATTATTTTATCACTCTTAGATATTATTTCATATATAAAATTTATTTACATATATATTTGTAGTATAACAATATTATACTTTTATTTATTTATTTTATATAAATATTAATTATATTCAAAATTCTATTACAAAACTATTAAATATGTATTAATTTTATTACAAAACTATTAATTATAAAAATACACATAACAAGACAAAATATTTATTTTTAATAAAATTTCTAATAGCTATTAATACAGGTTTAACTATATTATAAAAAACATATGTTATTCTAATGTTTATTGAATTTAATAATATGACATACATTTTTAATTAGTTAGTATAAAATTTAATTTTATAATAATATAATATTATTAATTGTTCATTACTGATTTAAAGTTCTATGATACTTTTTTAAAAAAATATATAAAGAAAATGGTAATAATCATTTAGTGATTTTTAAATGAAACATAACTAACTAAAAGTATTGTAATTATGTAAAAATAATTTTAAAATACAAATAATATTGTATATTTATATTTAGTTACAAATTTGAACTAATTATTAATAATAATTGAAATATATTATTAAATAAAAGATAATAAAATATGTATATTAAAAATTTGGTAGGATAAATAGTGTACACTAAAATTTGAACTAATTTTGTGTAATACTATTCATTCTAAAGCAAATTTGGCGGGATAGTGTTATTTTGCTGTTTTTGTGTTTTCTTGGAGTTGGCCTAAATGCACTATAATGCATTGTTTGAGCTGTTTTCTAGCAGGGTCTATATATGTACGATGGTAGCTCAAACTATTTGTGTGCAAGCTTCAATTATTACGAAGATGTATACATGCATAATATAATATACTCCCTCTGTTTCATTATAAGTGCCACACTACAAGAAAACTCGTCCATTACTAGGACGGGTTTTCCTCGTTAGTTCCTAGTAAATGGCCTTTTACTAGGAACTTACGAGGAAACGCGTTTCCTCGAAACACGTTCATCGTAAAGACATTTTCCTCGTAAGGTTGTAGCGAATTTACGAGGAAAGCTTTCCTCGTAAAGGCGTGGTAATATTTTCCTCGTAAGGT